TCCCATCTATCTTCTCATTCCGCTGTGTCTTTGTGTCCTTGTACTGCACGGATGCCCTGGTCCAAATATTTGTTTTTTCAACGTCTGCATTGTCCTCCGGAGAATATCACCACATTTCTAATTCACAGAGATATCGCAAGACGCAAACCGTCAACATTCGTCAGAAATTAAAGCTAACAGACCATAAGCGGATTGAACTCGTGATGAAGTAAAAACTACATCACAAATTTGTGTCAATATCAAGCCGTGACTTCGAACTGAGTGGCTGCGGCATTACACCGTTTGGTAATCTTCACTGATCTGAAACCCAATTGCCAGTACATAGGTATGGCTTCAGGCTTTACGCCATCCACGTTAATACGTCGACATTACACTATATCTACAGCTATATGATCATATTAAAAGCCCAAACCTCACAGTATGACCAAGAAACATGAAGATGGAACAAAAGCTTAAGAGGTCAATCAGCTGTTACAAAACCCATCTTAGTTACGATAAAAATAATACTGAATATCTGTCACATCAAGAGGGATATGGTGACACTTGTAGGCTAAATACAATATCAAAAAAACAAACAAAAGAGCTAGGTGTCGTCTGACCACCATGTATCCAAGGAACGCAGCTGTTGCTATGCCACCCAAATATTTACAAGACACAACATCGAGAAAATAAGACCTCATTCACATATACACCATCTGTCCACACAAGTGGATCTAACTTTGCAGGGACTCTCGCTGAGTGCAATCAGTTTAACTGAATGACACAAATATTATACAAATAGTATAACGTGCTCGTATAATCACCAGCTTTCTGTTACATAACACCAGGAGGAAGGGTGTCCTTCTGTTAATCTGATTGCTCTCAGCGAGAGTCCCCGCAGAGTTGAATTGATATAAGCAGGCCGTGAGAATGGATCCAAGGAGCAATTAAATATAATGATGCCAAATGAGAATGTTGTTGCGTGTCAAAACAACGAAAATTGACGTGTTACAATCGTCATGTAATTTACACATCGGGAAGCAATTACTTGTATACATTTACATCTATTTTACACGTGCATGAACATGTATATCACTGTACATGCCTCTTTTACCCCCTGGCTTGTTAATCTTTCATAACACGGATTTTTTTCTTTGAAAATATACCTTGAAGAAATAAATCTACACAAACTCATCTGGAGAAAATGGTCTTCATGCAGCAATGAAAAGAAAAAGGTCATAATGTTTTATAAATTCTTAGGTTGAAGAAGTAGATCACATTTAGTGGCCAAAGCCTCACAAACAAGTTGTTTTGTGTTGTTTCTCTCAGTTTACCTGCAACTTTTTTTTAACCATTATCATGATGTAAGTTAGAACCTGCCATTATGTACCTAAACAAGTCAGAAAACCACAATATTTATTTATCAGATATTGGTTGAAAGCATACACTGATGGGCGTAAAGCACTGTTAGCAATTCATGTTCCTATAAAACCAGCAGCAGTACACTTAATGTATAGATACTAACATTGGTGGTAGCTTCCAAAGGTATTATTTATGGGTAACATATTGAAAGAGTAAAAAAAAACAAACATACAACTGCAGTGCTCTTATGTCAGCCTCTGTAAATATCTAAAATCAGATATCATCTCTGTTCGTCATTTTCTCGGAAACGCTGTATTCTGTTACCCTCTACCAGGGCGACAGATTGATTTTCCACAGATATTCACAGATAGACGGTCATTTTGGTCTGTTGTCAGAAAATTAATCTGTCGCCCTGGTAGAGGATAGTATTCGGTTATCTTTACATGCAATTTGTAGAGAAATTGTTTGTCTTTCAACCAGTACTAATCATGCTAATAAACACTGGTGTTTGAAATGTTTGTATTTTTAAAAGCACGTTCTGGCAAAGGCGTGAAATTTTGCATGACATGCTGTTCACAGACCGCATACCAACGGCGGGAGGGGGGGGGGGGGGGGGGGGGGGACTCATCTTCATAAACCCCCAAGAATAGATTTCCTGGCATGCTTTCTTAATTTCCTAGACACCATCGTAGACGAGAGGCCGAGTTCGACGGACAGTGTACAGGGTGTTACAGGCGACACAATTTAACCCTCTTTTCTATCTCCCGATGATCCAGGCATGGCTTGCAGTCACACACTGCACTCCCACCCCCACCCCATGTGTAAACATAGAGTAGGAGTCCTGTGGGGAAGGGGCGAAGGGGGGGGGGGAAACCCCCTCTCACCACCCCAAGTATTTCCAGCCATGTCAGTTAAGCTAAGGAAATGGGTTTTGTGGTAATGTTAAAGCCCCCTCCCTCCCCCCTCCTTCTCGTATCGAGTTTTTAAATATTAATTTTTTTTTTACGTGATTAACCCACCTCACACTTAAAGATTGGCTTCAACGCGCCAGGTTTAAGATATGTGCACTACGCTCCAGCATACCAAGGGATTGTGTCTCGAGCATGCTATGTATTCATGTCTCATAAAACCTACTGTGCCCCCCCCCCCCCCCCGGGGGGCATTTTGTTTTTTTTTCGAAATCCGTCCCCCCCCCCCCCCCCCCCTTTTTTTTTCGTCCCGTTTTTTCGCCTTGTTTTCAAAAAAATT